ACCTCATACTTTTCCCCCCTTTGCCTCCAAGGGCAAAGTTCTTTTTCCCACAGACTCCTAGTGCACCACTCACCCTTTTTTCCCCCCTCAAATTTTGATTCCCTCATCTTTTATGACCCATCCGCTGACAGTCCACTCCCCAAAAATCTGAAAACATTCCCTTCCATACCCCTCCCTCCAATCTGATATCCAATCTTTCATCACCTAAACTTTTTTTTACCCATAAACCCTTTCTCTTTCCTGTATTCACTTTTAATTTTTATCTTTGATACCCTACCCCAAATTTATCCACCAACTCTGAAACTTCTCTTCGAATCTCCAAAAGCACGTTTCATCAGCAAAGAGAAAAGTGCAACTCCCCCTTTATGGTGATTCTTTATCTTTTTAACTCCACGCCTCTTGCCAAGCCCCCGCATTTACTTCTCTTACAACCCCCTATAATATTTTAACAACCACGGGACATCACACATCCTTGTCAAAGGCCTACTTTTACGGGGAAAATAATTTCCCTCTTTCCTCCCTACTCTAATTTAGCCCACTATCCTCGTAAAAACTCTTCACTCCCTTTCAGTAACCTCCTCCTACCCATACACCTGCAAAATCTGCACATGTTCCCCTACCCCACCCTATCAAAACCCCTTTTTCCCAAAATCCAAAATGTCACAAAGCCCCCTTTTTAAACCCTATCAAATACTGTTCACTTATTTTTCACTGTAAACCCCTGGTCCACCACCCCCTACGTTCTTAAACCTCCTTGTTCATTGCTATCCTATTTTCCGTCTTACTCTTTAATTTTTCAATAATAAAAACTAAAAAACACTTTACCAGGGCCCCTCAAAAAACTTATCCCCCCATATTTTTGCACTTCTTTTGTCCCCCTTTTCTTTTTCAAAGGAACTTGCATGCCTCTCCAATCCCCAGGGACCTTACCCTTTCCAACATTTTTTAAATATTCACCAAAAACTCCAAAACTATTTCCCCACCTGCTTTAAACATTTCTATCTTACCCATCAATCCCCGGCTGCCAAAACCCCCCTTTTTTTTACCCACTGCCTCACTAACTTCCCCCCCCCCACAAAGGCTCTTTCCCCACTCCTACAAAAATGTTATTCCTCTTTCCCTATACCGAAAACACAGCTTTCCCTATCTTTTCAACATTTAACAATTCCTCAAAATATTCCCCCATCTTTCCCAAAACCTCAACTCCATTTAAAAACTCTCCTTCCTATTTTAATGACAAACCAATTTGTTTTTTCAGCTTCCCTTTAAATTGTTAATCTCACTCCAAAACTTTTTTTTTATTTTCACCCAAAATTTTTTTGATAAAACTCACCCACTCTCTCATTTGCTCCTTTTTACATTGCTTCACCCCTCTCTTAACCTCTTCCCTTTTTCTCCCTATACTCTTCCCCCTTGCTCATTTTACTTTGAAAAACTTCTCATTCAAATTTTTCTCCCTTACTACTTTTTTAATCATCATTCCACCAATGCTCCTTTTTCCCCCCTGCACCCCCCTTTCCCTGTAAAAAAAATTTGCTGAACACCCCAAACACTACATTTTTAAACCTACCCCATCCTCTTGACCCCATTGTTATCCTTCATTACCCCCTCTATTCCCAATAGCTTTTTATATTTTACCCTAACTCCCCTCCCCTTTTTGTTTATAAACCTTCCCCTCTCTTTTCCCCCTGATGCTTCTCTTCTCCTTGTATCCCATCACCTTTTACTCTCAGTGTGCTACAACAAAAAAATGATCGAAAAATTCTGTGCCCCTCTAAAACATGACACCTGAAGTCACTCAACAGTTTTTTATCTACCTAAATAATCCAACAAACTACTGTCATTTCGCCTACATCAATCTTGTATACTTGTTTACCTCTTTTTTTAAAATATGTATTATCTAAAACTAAACCCTTTCTTACAAATTTCAACAAGGGGCTCCCATTATTTTTTACACCTGGCACCCCAAACTTACATCCACACCCTCTAAAAGTTTCTCCTACTTTGCTTCAGGTCCCCTACCACAATTACTCTCTCACTTGGTTCAAAAGGGTCCTTAATTTATTTCATCTCCCAAAATCTCTCCTTTTCCTTCCTTCCCCCTCTTCTCCAGGGGAATACACGTATTATGACCCACTTTTCGCTCCAACCCTTTACTTTAATCCACATAATTCTTGAAATTTTCACATTCATATTCCCCTTTTCTCCTTCCATAACTGATCCCTTTAACATTTCTGTCCCCCATATATAAAATAAATATATATATATATATATATATATATATATTTTATTATATAATATAAAAATTAAATATGTACATAGGGAGAGGTTGTAAAAAGCAAGCCCAGGGGGTACTACCGTCCTGCCAAGTGAGTGTACAACGAAAAACCTGTAATTGTTTTGCATGAGGGAGGATTGTGGTGTCTTTTGTCTCTCATAAGATTCAAATTTTAGGTATGTCTTTTCACTTCTACTTACACTTTGGCACCTACACATACATGTAAAAACATATAATACACACCCCTCTGGGTATTTTTCTATTTTCTTTCTAGTTTTTGTTTTTTGTTTATTTTTCTTTTTCCATGGAGAAGTGGGAAAAGAATTTTTCCTCCGAAGCCTGCGGTTGTAAGAGGGGGACTAAAATGGGCCCGGGACAAGGGGGTAGTAACCCCTTCTCCCGTACAGGTTACTAAAATTTTAAAAAGAAACTTCGTTTTTCTTTTTGGGCCCCCGCCTTGGTGGGATACGGCTGGTGTGTTGAAAGAAAATTTTTAAATATATATAATATTTAAAAATAATAATTTATATATATATATATATATTTTATTTATATAAATATAAAGCGAGTAAACATCCGTTCCACTGGATTCATTTCTCTTAAGTATCGAGGTCCAGGGTTAGGGCTCATTTGTTTTTGACCACCATAAGGCAGGCCCAAAACAGCATGGGTCGATCCCTTGGGTAGTGCTGGTTGTTATTATTTAAAACCACTCGTTCGGGAAAAATAATTAAAATATGCTCGCTGTACTATACAAAACCCAAAAGGGGGCTAGAAAGAAATTTGCCTAGAGTCACCATACCATCGTGTCTTGGGAGGAATACAACACCTTTCCGCTGGAACGCTACTTTAAGGGTCTAGGTCCTGTGGTTAGGGGGCATGTGTTTTCGCCCACCATGAGCAGGCCAAAGAGCATGGGTTCGAGTCCTTGGCTAGGGAGTTGTTATTGATCTACTACTCGTTCATGGTCACAATAATATATATATATATATATATATATATATTTTATATATATTATATATATATATATATATATATATATATATATATATATATATATACGCACAGTAGGGCCCCACTTATACGGCAGGTTAGGTTTCAGGCTTCCGCCAGAGAGCAGAACTCCATTTTTTTCCACTTATAAATGCCACATAACAAGTTTATGCTAATGCATATTAAGTTAGCAATAGAACTAGGCATTAAAAAACAATAGAAAGTACAATACACACACAGTATACTCATTACCTACCTTAAAATATTTGTAGTCTTACTGTAGGGTGAGAAGTGAGTAGTATTTATTGTTAGAGATCAGGTGTGGGTGGTACGGTAGCCAGCCACGACACCCCAACCACACGTAAAGCGCACCAGAGAGATAAAATGCATATACAATACACTCATTATTTACCTTATAATATTTGTAGTCTTAATGTAGGGTGAGAGGTGAGCAGACGCGGTAAGACAAATAAACGAGAGTGAGAACGAGTAAATGAGAGAGAAAAGAGACACGGAGGAAGTAAACTGATGAACGCGTCACGTTGTGGTTGATACACATTCATTTACACCTAAAATCTCATATTTTTGTTAATTTATTCTACTGTGGGGTATATTTATCATGTTTATATGATACGTAGCCTGTTTATTATATAATTTTGAAAAACATATCATAGATGGATTAATGAAAATGTTTATATTAACGTAATATACGACATTTAATGCACGTCAGAGTGATTTTATTGTGTATTGTTATTGTTATTATTATTATTATTATTATTATTATTATTATTATTATTATTATTATTACTATGGCGTCCTCAAGACTAATAAGACACTCTTAGTGATTTTAATGTGTACCTGCACGCCAGCACAGTGCATAACTTTATTTAGGTAAAGATACACACAAGTGTATAATTATAAGAGTATATATAAAATATGAAATAACTTTAAAACACTTGAAATTTTGGCCAGTTTCCAGACATAATGGAGAGACGCGGTGCTCATGGAGAATATAAACAAACCGTATTAGAAAGTCAGGCGGGGGAGCCGAATAGCGAGTTTTGGTCATAATTTGAAGTATCCGTATTAGTGGAACGCCGTAAAGCGGACCCTAGTGTTATATATATATATATATAATATATATATATATATATATATATATATATATATTATATATATATAATTGTTTGCAGTGTTATATATATAATTGTAGTGTTATACTTAGTTGTCTGACGTGCGACCAACAGTAACAGCCTGGTTGATCAGGCCGATCCACCATGAGGTCTGGTCACAGACCGGGCCACGGAGGCGTTGACCCCAAAACCCTCTCCAGGTATACTGAATATATTTACTACAAGTACATGTGCAAGATATACAGACCATAGCTGACATCAATTAGGTCAGTTTTGTCCCAGGATGCGACCCACACCAGTCGACTAACCCCCTGTACCCATTTTACTGATGGGTGAACAGAGATAACCGCTGTAAAGAAACACGCCCAAGGTTTCTACCCTAGCTGGGAATCGAACCCTGACTTCGCCGTGTGAAGCAAGAGCTTTAGTCACCAGGCCACGGGGCGCCGTAAGAAAATGTGCAACCTTGGCCCGTGTGGGGATCGAACCCACGACATCCGCGTTATTAGCACGGCGCTCTAACCAACTGAGCTAACAGGCCTGACATGCGGGTGAAACGTTCAAGTGTTGCAGCTGTGTCTTATACATCAACGTACCACCCAGGGCTGGGCGAGACCTTGCATGCCCTGAAAGCCGGAGATGTTTCTGGACATGGGCTTGCAGGCGTGCGAGCGGAGGGTGGGCGTGTGGGCGTGCGAGCGGAGGGCGGAGAGGAGGCGTGGTACAACACGGGATGCCGCGGTACTCATCTTGTGAAGATTTTCTCTCCTGAGGGAAAAAATCAAGAAATTAACATGATTATTAAACACGATAATTTAACATGACAGTTAGTTTAAGTTTAATATGTTTATTATACACCCCATACCCATCCTGTGGGCGGTAGTCAAAAGATTACAGAGGTACATAATGGGTCCAGGGACTGGGCCTCAAAGTTTTGATAGCTGAGCAAGTTACAGAGGTAATGAATTCACAATTTACAAAGGTAATGAACTCACAATTTACAAAGGTAATGAACTCCAGGTAGGTCTAGTCACAATCATGACAAGTTACAAAGGTATTTACAGATTACAGAGGTACACAATGGGTCCAGGGACCGGGCTCCAAAGTTTTGATGGCTGAACTAGGTACAAGGTAATGAACTCACAAGTTACAAAGGTAATGAACTCACAAGTTACAAAGGTAATGAATACTGTAAGAATGGTTACTTACGTTTATACATGGCTGCAATCATGAACAAATTTTAGAGTAATGAGCAATTCACACTTCCACACCCGGTCACAAACTGTAGTGAGTTATTGGTGCAAATGTTGATTGCCGAGTCTCTCTCTCCACACACACACACACACATACAAATTCATACACACACACACATAATCACACACACACACACACACACACACACACACACACACACACACACACACACACACACCACACACACACACACATACACAAACTAATACACACACACGCACACACACTCATACACACACACACACACTCATACACACACACACACTCATACTCACACACACACACACACAACACCACACACACACACACACACACACACACACACACACACACACACCATTACACATACACACAACACACACACACACACACACACACACACACACACACACACACACACACACACACACACACACACACACACATGCACATATGTGGTAATGCTTTATTTACAGCTAGCAAAGTCAGGGTATTTCTCCAGAATGGTCTGTAATATACCACTGTGGATAAAATACTTAGCCATTTCTTGAACACTTCTGAGTGAGTTGTTTCTAAATTTATTAATTTGATCGCACTCCAGTACATAATGACGCAAGGTGTGACAATAGTCCATCTGGCAAAGTTTACATTTCGTTTGGTCTACATCTGGTGGTGGTGATTTAACCTGCCAAAGATACTTGTAACCCAGCCGGAGCCGGGCGGTAGTGACATCCAAGAGTCTGCTTATTTTGTTGGATGCACCATAGACATGTGGCTCCTCCTGCATGATAGAATGATGATAGATGGACTCATTGGTGTCAATCTCCCTGAGTCTTAAGTCAATAAATTCAGTTGAAGTTCTTTTCGTATTATTGTTCTCAAACTACTACCTGACAAGCCAAGATTGTAATCTACTCCCTCTTTGAAAGCATACAGCTTAGCCAATTTATCAGTTCTATCATGCATCTGAAGACCAATGTGAGATGGAATCCACAGCATGTGCACTCTGACTCCACTGTCCACAATCCTACCATACCTGTGTCTGGCTTCTGACACAAGCATGCCACAATTTATGCTTAATGAGTTGAGAGCATTTATGGATGACAGAGAATCAGTTACAATTAAACTGTCAACATGACAACATGATTATTTAACATGATTCAGTTCCTTCTCTTACCTTCAGCATTCATATAAAATTTAAGGAGAATAACCAATGTATGACCTCCAATACGATTAGCATTAATAATAATAATAATAATAATAATAATAATAATAATAATAATAATAATAATAATACTCACTAAGTGATAGAAAACGTAAACTATTGAAGGGGTAACTTCACAAGAACACCGTGGCTCCCGTCCATCAACTGGGGTGTATCCACCACTCGCTGTAGCTTTATACAAGTGCCACTATCTCGCTGCCGATAACACTGTCGTAAACAACGGCACTAGTTACAGCACTTGAAGCCACTTGGGATTTCCAAGTATAAGTAGGTGTCGCTATTTGCTTCTCTTTTTTTTCTTTTGGTAGGTGATGAGTGTCATTGGGATTATTAATCTGGAAAGCTACTAACTTTAGCCAAGAAAACACATGCAGAGCTATGAAATTTATTAAAGGGGTCGTTTCGCCACAACTGGTTTTTTTCAGTTATAATTCAGAGACTTCTTAGGAAGGCTTTTATATAAATGATTGTTCTGAAGAGTTGTGAGGTAGAGGGTGAGGCAAAGAGGGAAGGGGGGATGAGGTAGCGTGGGCAAGGTAGAGGTGTGAGGCAGAGGGAGTGAAATAGAGGAAGTGAGGTAGAGTGGGTAAGGTAGAGGAAGTGAGGTAGAGTGGGTAAGGTAGAGGTGGTGAAGTAGAGGAGGTCAAGAAGAAGAGTGTGTGAGGCAGAGCAAGAAAGACCAAGTAAATAATATTATTACACTAATTATAAAATAGTAATGATAGATAACAGCTTTTGTTAGCTCTCTCAGGTGATTCTCTTTTATTATCTATGACAAATAATTCCCATGATACTGGGGCATGTTCCATTAGGTTCCCTTCCACTTGTCACTCCTCTTTCCCGCTCTCCCTTCCCCACTTCTTTCCTCAGCCAACTCTTCCTTCCCCACACAGGGACACTCTGAGAAAAGACGACGAATTAGTGTTTGGTTGGACATTTAATCAATTCCTACCATTATGAGACAACTGTCTCCTCTCGCCTCCTTCCCGTCTACATCTTCGGTAGAGACTACCAGACAACTGTCTCTCCCTCCCGTCTTCGTATTCAGTACACACTACCAGACGGCTGTCAACCCTCGCCTCCTTCCCGTCTATATCTTTGAATTTATTCTTTCGTGAAATACACGGAATAAATTTCAAGTGTTCCAGAGAGCTTGCAAGTTTATAATGCACCCACAGAAACTTCTTCTCTGGCAGCGATGAAAGCCGGACTAAAATTAGGCCCATGTGAATCTTAACAGAGCTCCAGGAGACGTTAAAAAAAATGACATGTTCAGTTAGTAGCAGTCGTCAGATGATAACTCACAAGAACGCTAGATAACACCAAGAGAACGAGATTACCCTGAATAAAATTGAAACCGATAGTGCCAGTCTAATCAGACCAGCAGTATAATTTTGATAATTGCTTTATATTTACACCTTGCACATGACTAAGGATGATCAGATAATAATAATAATAATATTCATAATAATAATAATAATAATAATAATAATAATAATAATAATAATAATAATAATAATAATAATAATAATAATAATAATACACAAATAACCCGCATATAGAAGAGAGGAGCTCTTCGTCCTATCATATCCTCTAGAGGTTCTGTCTCTTATTCTCTTGCTTCTTGGCTGGCCAAAACCCTCACTCCCTTTCTTGGTGCTTTTTCTCCTGCCCACCTCCGTCACTCTCAAGATTTCATTGAACGGGTTCGCTCTCTCCCAACCTGTAAGATGCTTAGTCTTGACGTTGAGTCCCTCTTCACCAATGTCCCTCTTGATGATGTCCTTGATTTCCTTAGAGAGAAGGCCCTTGAAGGGTTTCTACATCTCCCTATACCTATTGAAGTCTTTCTTGAGCTTATTTGTCTCTGTGTGGACTCTAATTCCTTTTCCTTCCAAGGGAAATATTATTCTCAAGCCTTCGGTGTCGCTATGGGCTCTCCTCTCTCTCCTGTCCTTGCTAATCTTTACATGGAATACTTCGAGACTGTTCTCCTTCCTACCATCGATGTGCAATCTTCACTCTGGCTCCGCTATGTGGATGACATCTTTGCTCTGTGGACTCATGACTCCAATCTCTTCCAACCTTTTCTTGAAGCTCTTAATAATCTTGCCCCTTCCATTAAGTTTAAAGCTGAATGGGAATCTAATTCCTTGCTTCCTTTCCTTGATGTCCATGTCCACCGCTCAGATACAGGTTTTTCCTTTTCCGTTTACCGAAAACCTATGCACAGTGGCATGTACATTCACTACTTTTTCTATCATGCTTCCCCTGTCAAGAAAAGTGTTCTTATCTCCCTCTTTCTCCGTGCCCTCCGCATCTGTGATCCTCAGTTCCTTCCAGCAGAAATTTCCACTCTTCATAATTCGTTTTCCCGTCTTGGCTACCATTCCCATTTCATAGACTCTGCCTTCTCACGAGCTAAACGTAATTTCTTCTCTCCCAAACTCTCTACTCCTGGGAACTCTTCTGTCCTCTGCCTTCCCTACATTTCCGGTCTTTCTAATCTCAACAATTCTCTCCGTCCCTTAGACATCATGCTTACTTTCCACCAGACTAACACTCTTCGCACTAATCTCGTTCATACCTCTCCTCCCTCTCCAGATGTTCCTGGTGTCTACTCTATTTCTTGCTCCTCCTGTCCTCTTCAATACTTTGGAGAAACTGGCCGATCTCTTTCTGACAGACTTAGGGAGCACAAAAATAGTGTTAGGCTTTGTTGCAACCCCTGAATGGGTCACAATGTATATGATGTATATTATGTATATGTATATAATGTATATTACCTTTTCATATAATTTTATATTGCTTATATTTGCGATAATAGCTAAATCGTAAATATATTGCTTTATATTATTATTTGACTTAGTTACTTTTGTTAGGCATGTTAGGATGTAACATTCATATATTATTATGTGCTCATAGTTCAAGTCTTGATTGTCTAACTACTGTAATTATCGCTTATGGCTCGTTAATCTGCCGGCTTCGGTGTTGCTGTGCAGCAACTGTCCACGGAGCTATCACGTGATCGAGGGGGGTGTACACACCTCGCCTGAAGTGTTCAGTCTGGGCTAGACTCTCTTGGTGGTTTGACGTATTCTTGACAAGACGTGCCTAAATCTCCCTTATTGGCCCTTGTTGGAAGATCGTCTCTGTCTCATTATTGTTGTAGGTTCTGTGGGACTCTGTTCACAGAACACTGTATAGACTTAGTGATTTTCGACGTTGTACTGAGGTTGTGTGTCGCATAGACACTCTGAGCAACTCAGGTCCTGAGCTGTAGCTTCTGACCTAATTTGTACTGGTATCTGTGTACTGTCACAGTCGGGGATTTTCTTATACTGATTCAGTAGTATGGGAGTTTTGTGACTTTTGTGGAGGATCTGCTGATGGTCACTACTTAGTGTCGTTATATTATCTCCTTGTTCCTGATTCTGTGTCGCAGTTGCTTGTTATATTGCTATTGGGCTTAGCATTCTTTTTATTGTTCAAGCAGACTGTTCTGATTGCCAGTTGGTCAAGAAATTAGTTTATTTGAGGACTTTGTCAGTCACTAGTTAAGTCTAGTAGAGTCGTGAGACATAGCGAACTACTTAGAGCACTTACACACATACACACAATCTTATTTGTATATTGTATTATTAAATATTAATGTACCAGACGGTACTTAAGACATAAATATGTGATATGTGCTTTCAGCACAATACTACTGTACACGAGAGAAGTGATTATTATTAATTTGTTTGAATTAATTAATTTAATTTAATTTGATAATATACCTCTAGACCATGATTAATAAATTTATTAAATTTTAATTTCTCTAGTTAGTAGCCTACCAGTTGTAATCCTAAAGCACTATTAATTCTTATTGAATTCTAATGGATAATTGGACAAGGATACTGACTAATTGTTACGAAAACCCAGTAACAGGTTAGATGCTAGAAGGGCAGTCCTTTCTATTATTCACTGGAGATCTCTAAGCTTTTTAGAAATCGCGTTTTTTGTAACAGGCTTGCCGACACTAACAATGCTCTTTTCTGTCACGTCAGAGATCACAGCCATCCTATTGACTGGTCTTCTGCTAAAACTGTCTTCCCTACTTCCAACTTTAACAGTCGCCATCTTGTTAAATCCTCTCTAATACACAACTTTCCTTGTATGAATCTTAGTCCTGGCTTCGTCTCTGTAGATGCCTTCCTCTCCCACTACATTGTAAAATGCTCCAAACTTCAGAACACCCGTGACTTAACCTGAATCCTCATTATTTCTTCTTCTCCCTCTTCCCATTTCCTTTTTTTTTTTCTTTATTTTTTTTGTCTTTCTTCTGTCGCGTGTTTCTGTTCCTTCATTATTTATTTCATCACTTCCCCGTCCCCCCCCACCTCTGTGCACTTGCTCTCCCTCTGTGGGCACCTAGCTCCCTTGCAGTGCTCCCCTTTCTTTATATTTGACTGGCTCCTCCTCCTTAGTTCCCCATTACTACTACTACTACTACTACTACTACTACTACTACTACACACCACCACTACCTCTTCCTGCCTATATATAGCCGTCCTGCTCCACTTCTGGTTAGTGTGACTTTGTAAATGGTCCAAGTCGGACCGAAACGTCGTCGTAAGCTCCTCTCTCCTATGTGCGGGTTATTTGAGTATCGTTCCAGTCACGGTAGTGTGCCTTTTTTTTGTTATTAATAATAATAATAATTGTTTACCAGATTATTGGTTGTTCCTGCAGAGCGGGGTTCAATGATAAGGCTTCGGAGGCTTCTTACTTTATTTGCAATGTCGTGGGGTACACAGGCAGTGTGTTAAGTGCCCATGGCCCGGGAGGGCCATGCCCAGCGAAGGAGAGAGTAGTCCTTGTTGACTGAGTGAAGGCCACTGAGAGAGAGAGGCAGGTCTGGGCATACTGAAGTGGCATAGGCCTATAGGTGGCAGCACAAGCATGGCACGAAATATGAACTCAGTTGGCAGACAGCATAGGCTGTCTATGCAGACAGTACAGGCTGTCTACATATTATTATTATTATTATTATTATTATTATTATTATTATTATTATTATTATAAGGGTCATACAGTGCCCTGGAAATCTGAGTGTGGAAAATTGCATTTAGCTGAATGTATAATTATTTACATAACAGTAAATGAACAATGATAACTATTATTTATCAGTTAGACAAGTAGGAATTTGGGACACTTGGGTCGCAAAAAATGTCCCCCTTCGATACCTACCACTGTCATATCCACAAGTTGCTCTGGACCTATTAATTAAATGAAATATACATACACCAGGAATACTGGTAAATATATAAATTTGTGGACTGTATATTAAAAATAATAAATGGTTATACATATACACAATTACATAACAGAAGGAAAATATATCTTAATATCACTCACCAATTTGACTGGAGATTAATGTGTATCATACTCAGAAAACCTCACTAACTAAATCTATGAAAATAATGCTGGCCAGAATTACACACAAATCTAGAGAGCTTATCTGAGGTTCCTGGAGCTGTCTTGTCCAGTCGTCTGATATCTCAAGTTATGCAGGAATGCACATCCACCAATTTCGCCTCCTATTTGAGAGGTGTCAACACAATTTTAACCTCTAGAGCACGAAAAATTCTTCCCATTACACCAACGTTTGTACAAAATTCAAAACCAAGATGGCGAGTCTCTTCTTTTTTTCGATAACATACTTCGTTTAAAAATACAATATGAGGCATCTATTTACCTATAAATTACCGTATTTCTGGAAAATATATACAGTATTTTCCACACTGCGGCCGAACGGAGTTCGTTGCTAAACAACTCAAATTGCTCATTTGGCAATGGTGGAGGACCTGGGTACATATAGGATCTGGCATCCACACGGCGACATATTACACAAGATTTAATCACCCTTTTTACACTTTGCCGTCCTTGTGGAATCCAGAAAGTTTCCCTAATACAATTTAAGGTATCTTGTACCCCACCATGCATTACATTTTTATGGGCATTTAGAACAATTAAATTTGTTAGATGATGAGTTTTGGGCAGTAAGATAGGGTGTTTAGCATAATCACCCAATTCAGCATTTTGTAACCTACCTCTGCACCTAATTACATTGTTCTCTAAATACAGCCCCAATTTCTCTATTATAGAACCTTTCACAATTTTTCTTTCCATCATCAATTTAATCTCATTTCCATAGATTTCCTCCTGTACCCTCTTTATCCAATATTCAAGAGGATGTGAAAACTTATATGAAATATTTATCTTGTTTAGAAATTCAAACACCAACTTAGTTACATTGATTAGCGGTGGTCACAGTAATTTCAACAGGAGCAATATACGCCTTTTGTACAGGCCAATTAGCTTTATTTACCAACCAACTCGGTCCTTTAAACCATGATACAGCCTTTACAAATTTAGCATAAGGT